TCTTTGTATGTTGCTGCCCTCTTTGTCCAAGAGGGCATTTCTGTGGGCATCCATGGGAAGGTTACAACAGTAATGAAAGCTCATTCCCATTAGGCAGAGTCTGAAAAACACAGTTATTCTAAGTAAAACTCTGTTCTTCATGTTTGCGTGTGATGGGGTTCTTGTTCTCTTTAGTGAATTAAGCATGGTTAAGTTTGTCCATTTTCATTTTTAACATGTTATCAATAAATGTAACTCATACAGTCGGGGTCTCCAGGATCTGAACCTAAATCACAAGCGTCCAGATCAGCGGACCCAGGTTCCACCAGGTCACCACCGGGTGTGCCCACGCAGGCACACTCTGCACATGTCTACTGCTGCCCTTGCGGTGCTGTGAGGTCATTTTGTTCATGTCAAAGAAAACAATGGCATTTGCTGCCTGCCACAGACTATATTTCTATTTCTATTTACCTAAAGGAAAAGAGGTGTGTGTGTGTGTGTGTGTGTGTGTGTGTGTGTGTGTGTGTTCATAGGTATGTATGTGAAGTCACAAGGATCTTCCTGTTCCTGTTCTCTAGCCTTGGGACAGCAGGTGTGCACTTTGTGGAACTCAAGTCCTCATGTATGCTAGAAAGCACCTCAGTCGTACCTGCACTGTGCCGCTAGCCCCAAAGAAAAAATTTTCAAAGTCTCCGAATTACCCAACCTTAAACTAGTATGTTCAGACATTGAATATTTGTTGGCTAATATTGGGAGATTTAAATATAGAGTGTAGGGGCTGGAGAGATGGCTCAGCCGTTATGAGCATTGTATGTTCTTATACAAAATCTAGTTTCAATCCCCAGCCACCCAATGGTGACTCACAAATCATCTGTAACTCCAGTTCCAGTGGGTCCAACGGCTACTGACCTCCATCAGCACCAGGCAGGCATGGTACACAGACATCCAGGCAAAACACCCATGCACATAAAATAAAAAAATAAATTTTAAAAACTTTTTAAAGAAACTGCAATTCTTGCAAATGAATGCAAAAATTGATTTTGCTTCTGTCCCAGGCTTTAGGGCTTCAGCAAGGACTGTGTGGACTCTCTCCTGTCACTCAAGTCCCTCAGTGGAAGATGGAATCTTCCAGTAACTGCTCTACACTCTAGCTCTGTAGATTCATTCTGTCCTGATAACACAAACGTGCCCAACCAACAGGCAAGGAAAAGTCACTTGGATCTTCAAAGAGAGTTAAAGCATGAAAGGTTTACACTTTGCCAGAGAGGTGCCTAAAACAGCCCAGCAGCTCCCGCCTGCTTTCGCTTCTCTAGCTTCTCTATATGCAGCCTCAGAATGGCTCATCTGCATGATGCAGGAGACTCGCAATTGTTCCTGCTGCTGAAATGACTCTGTAAAGAGTGCCTATTACACCTCCATCCCGGACAATTGAGGCAGTTCCTCTGAAAAGGATGCCACTCACGGCAGTTTGCATAATGCTCTCTGCAGTGCGGGTAGGACTGTCCCCAGGCTGGCTTCTTCAGCTGCAGCCTACCTCAGGCTGTTTTGTCACAGTGGCAGGCAGGCAAGCTCCTTCTTCCCCTGACCCTTTGCCCTTTCACAGGTGGAACTGGACTTGAACCAGGTCACAGTGTCATTCAGGCTAACCTAATCAGGGAAGCCATGAGATCTTTTGAGAGAGAAAGAGAAAAAAAATAACTCTCAGAATACATTAGGGGAAGGAAAGAAAGAAAGAAAAGAGAGAGAGAGAAACAAAGGAAGGAAGGAGACCCTAAATAGACAATATTCTTTATTCTTTCTGAAAATGTTGGAAATCAGTCTTTCTTTCTCTTCTTTCACTACACAGTACCTTGAAAATACGACTTTTATGTTTTTAATGTATCAGCTCTACTATTTAATTTTTTAAAGTGCTTAAAGAAGCCAGTGAGATGACTCAGCAGGTGAGGTTGCAAAGTTTGATGACCTACACCTATCTGTAGGGCCTGTGCTAGAAGAAGACACCCTGCTCTTGAAAGCTATCTTCTGTCTACACATGCATGCCTAGACATACAAACGCTTGCACAGACTCAGGTGCGAGTGCATACACACACCACACCATGTAAAACTGTGCTCCAAACAGGAAGGGCCAAGTATCTGCCTTTTCCTATGAAAGTCTCTAGGCAACCTCTATTTCCTCTTGTATCTCACAGTCCCCTTGGAGTCAACTTAGCCAGAATTGACCCTTTTAGCTCATTTTCTCACAAAGCACTCCTTCTTCAGGACTCCCTAATTCAACAGAACACTGACACCTGCTCACTCTCCACACCTGCCCCTTGCTAAGCAACACAGCTAAGCTCTGCTTTCATTCCTAGGCTCCTTTGGCCCTTCTAGCCATCTGCACCCACCTCGAGGACTGAGAGTTCCCATATTTCCATAAGAGACCCTGGAACATCTCCTGGAGTGACCACTCCTGTCCCTTCTCGTCCCTCTGCTGGGAACTGAATGACACCCCTAAACACATATGCAGAAGTCCTCATCCATAGCACCTGCAAACTAAGACACCTTCAGAGTTCATCAAGTTACAATGAAGACATCCTGGTGTGCCCCGATCCAATGACAGGAAGAGGAAGCAGACACCCAGGAACAAGGCTGGCAATGACCTGGGTGGAGGATGAAATGATGTAGCTGCAGACCTTATTGGCAACAGCCTGAGAAGCCAGAAAGAGGTTCTGAAGGACTCTACCAGAGGGATGTGTTCCTGCTGATGGTGCAGTTAAAGACACCAGGCCTCTTATAATGGTGATCATGCCATTAGTTCAAGATACCAGCCTGGAGCACATGCTCTTCCAACCCACTCTCTGTCTTAAACCATTTGAAAATACAGTTTTCTGTAGAAGGTAGCAGAAAGTCCTTCCAGGAAGCCGCTGCTGCTAGGACACACAGAGTCTGGGTGCTCTTTGCCCAGGTGGTCTAAGTTTCGCCCCTGACTGCCATGTCATCCACTGCTCCAACTCTCAGATTCCCAGTGAAGTCCCTCAAGGACTTCAGTGGCCAGAGCCTAATTGCTAGCAATGTTTTATCATCATCATCATCATTATTAGTGTGTGTGTGTGCATCCACGTAGGTCCACATGTATGTCCGTGTGGAAGCCAGAGGTCGACCTCAGATGTCTTTCTCAGCTGCCCTTTATGTCGTTGATCTGAACCCAAACAACCATTAGGCGATGCTGGTGGCCAGCAGGCCGCATGGTCTGTCTCAGCCTTTCTAGACAGGTCCCTCCACACCTGGCTGTTTATGTCAGAACTAAGGATCTGAACTCAGGTCCTCATGCTTTTGTTGCAGGTCCTTAACTGACAGAGCCACCTCTCTACCATCTCTCTAGCCTTATGGTGTTAAAAGAAAACTTTCTTCAGAAATTCAAAAACAGTGCCAACCACAAAACACCAGTTTCATTCTTTGGGAGATTCTCTCATCTCTGGCCTTTGAATCCAGCCTGGCCCAATATGAGGTTGCTTGGATTTGTAGGATTAAAAATGACAACCAGGCAGACAGCTTGCCACTGGGTATCTCTGAGTGTAGACCAAGGTTGTTGGCCTACAGAACACACTTCTGGCTTTGTCCTTTGGCTTCATGTCAGAGTCGTGGAACTCTCAGCAACTGTTAGCCACTGGAGAGGAAAATGCTGTTTTCTACAAGAGCGTAGCTCCAGTGGAAGGCCACATATCCAGGAATACTGGGACAATATAAATCTATCTTGATTTTTTTTTCAAGTACATAAATCTGGGTGGGTAGAGAAGATGAGGTGGGTCTTGGAAGAACTGGGGAGGAGTGGATATGATCAAAACATATGAAATTCTCAAGAAAAAAAGAAAGACAGAGCAAGGGTGTGAGTTTTCAGAGAGAAACCAGTACACACAACACTTCCTCAGAAAAATGCCAGTGTGTGTGTGTGGGGTCACCATGGAGATTAGGTATGGGACAGAGGGTTCTCACTGTGGAGTTTAGGTGTGGGGGAGGGTGCTCACTTCAGAGATTAGGCATGAGGGAAGGGTTTTCATTGTGGAGATTTGCTAGGAGGGGGGAGGATCCTTACTGTGGAGATTAGGTGTGTGTGGGGGGTCACTGTAGAGATTAGGTATAGGGGGGGTCACTGTAGAGATTAGCTATGGGATGAAGGATTCTCACTGTGGAGATTAGGTGTGTGTTGGGGGGGGTGTTATTCCTGTGAAAGACACTGGCAAACAGAACTTGGAGGAACCCTGAAGGCAGGGAGGGGTTGTGTTTTTTCCGGCCAGTTTAGTGAATGACTGGACACCTGATGATGACGTAGTTCTTCAACAAGGGCAGACCCTGCACTCCCAATTCCTCTGGATCCCCTGCTCCTACAGTTTCAAAATTCACTGCCATCTGCAAAACTCTTTCAGCCAAGCACTGAGGTGCAGTCCACAGGAGGAGTCCAATGTCCCCACCATCCTCACTTCCCCTTGGAGGTGAATTAACCTTTCACGTGCTGTGCTACCATAACATGGGACAAGGTGTCACTGTTTCCTTGAGAGACTAGTTGGAGGCAGGGGCAGGCATGAAGAAAGGATGGAGATAGGATTTGATTTGCAATATACTCAGATCCAGACTAACATAGGGGTAATAAGTCAGGGTTCTAAGAAATACTACAGATGAGATGAAAACACTGATTAAAAGCTCAGCTCTCAATGCAGCAAAATGCAACATATAATTCCACGCAGCTGATACTAGGCAAGGCACCCGATTTCAAAAATGGGGCTTTGCTAGAGTGTGCGTGTGCCAAGGGTGTACCAAAAGAACCCCCTGTTGTGTTTGCTGCTGTACTTAGTGTCCATCCAAGGGTCTGGCCTAGCAGAGGTCTAACTAGTGACTGCACGAATGTAGCCCCCCCTCCTTTCATTGATTAGGGAAAACAGAAAGGAAGGCTGACGATACCACTGGCCAAGGCATCACCAAGTACAGGCCATCCATGGGGTCCCTTCCCTCACTACAGTGCCCAGAAAGGCAGCGAAGCACACTTTTTAGCTTTATTGGCAAGCAAAGAAAACACAGCAACAAGGTTTTTGTTTCAAGTCCTGACCATCCAGCTGCACTGCTGGAGTAATCCACCTAGACTTCCGGGAACCATGGATGAAATGGACTTGAGGTGAGATGAGGATCGAAGTCAGCCAAGTCCAGACCCTCCTCCTCTGAAAGTGGGGAGGAGTCCTTTGTTGTCATGTAAGCAACCAGGTTCAGACCCCAGAGTGCTTACTCCCAACCACTACTGGCTGCCTCCACTTTGTGTGTTGGTGTGTGGTGTCTGTTTGTCTGTTGGTCTGTCTGCTCTTTCTCTGTGTGTGTGTGTCTGTGTATGTGAGAGAGAGAGAGAAAGGAGGGGGAGAGAAAGAGAGGAGAATCAAGTAGAATATGAAGAGATCTTTGGAAAAGCAAGGGGGTGCAGGGGCCATGCATTCACAGGTGGCTTGTGGGGTGGGAGGAAGGGGCTGCAGGAGGGAAGCCAGGGAAGGGATGAAGAAGTGAGTACACATGAAAATCCATAATGAAGCCAATCACCTCATATGCTAACCTAAAACATTCATTTTATAAAAAAGGAAGACACAATATTCTCTTCCCACTAAAACAGAGCAAATTCAGCAGGTCACACTCCACAACTGCATGTAAGACTGCCACTGGAACAGAGAGCACGGGCTGCCCGTGGGAACACAGGGTACTGGCTGCCACCAGTATTAAATTCCTCAGCTGCTCTGCTCTCCACTTCCTCATAAGATGTGGATCTCAACCCTACCTTCCTCTGAAACCTGTGTGCCTGTATTACTCTAGAGGTGACCAGCACCCCTGGCTTCAGCTGAATGCTGGCTTTTGTTTCAGGTTCAGATGGATTATACTCAGTTATCCTGACATTTTTTTTTAAGCCCAGAAAATGAAAAACCCACCTATGCTAAGCACAGTTCCCAGCACCAACCCAGCTCACCTGTAGGGGTAACAGCAGCAATGGCAGCAGCAGAAGCAGCAACCAGGCGCAGCCTGGGGTGTCCATGCCTGGGTGTCCACCGGACAGTCCTTGGAGCCTGGTAGCCTCATCAGGAGCCAGTCACCTGCTCTCCAGCTGGTGTCATCTTTTCTAGTTACTCTCTTGGGTTCTTAGGCCCTGACACTTCACCTCCTGGCTCCTCTGTTCTCTGCCTTGCTGTCATTGTGTGAGAGCAGGTGGGCTGATGGGTAAGGTATAACCTCATCTGCAGCCAACAGAGTTCTAGGGAAGCAAGTGCTCAGATTCCAAACACCACAGTTACGTGTGTACACAGAAAACTGGCTGGGCATCCAACCTCAGGGATTATAGCTCAGCCGGAGAAGAAAAAGCAGAGCCTGTGGGAAAATCGGGTTTTGTTTCTCTGTTTCTTAGTTGGTTTTGGGTTTCTAAATAGAAGTCTAAAATCCCTCTGTAGTAGGGCAATTAGTGGTTCTTATAATCACTCAAAACTGGAAAAACATCCCCAAGAAATTATATAGAGAGCTGTTACACACAGAGAGGGGGAGGAAGAGAGGGGGGCATGTGGTGGCAGTGTTTGTCAGTCTCCCTTTCTGTTTTCTGATTGGACAGCTGCTCAGACACTCAGGGGCACTGATCAGAGCAACAGACACACTAGGGGAGAGTCCTGTCTTGGGGCGCCCACACTCTAGTGGAATCCCATATGATTATGCCAGGGAAGATGTATGAGGAAGAAAGAAATGAAGGCGGCTTTCGATGACGCCTCTGTAGAGCATGCATGCACAAGGCAGGCCATAGGTTCCTTCAGCTCCAGAACAGAAAAATAAACTACTTTTTACAGCTATCCCACATATATTACAAAATCTTTATTCTAAGCATATCTAGGCTCTGGGGTATAAAACCATTTCTACCGAAACCTCTTATGAACTGTGATGGAGTTAAAGAGTAGGCAGAGAGATGAGAAAGCATCCGCCCCCTCCCTCTCCTTCCTCCCCCCTCAACACCTCACCCCCCAGCTAGAGTATCTAAGGAAACCTGGGCCTTAGATTCTGGGAAAGGGTTACATTGGGATTCTATGACATCGACTGTCAAGCCTGCAAATTTCGAAGCAAAATCTGAACTTGGGTTCTGACAACCTTGATTAATGTATGAATTATTATCTCCCTATCTTGCCTAAAGTAATGACCAGTTTTCAGCAAGCAAAACAGGCACAGTCCTTTTGGCTTCCTGTGCTCTCAGAGCAGGAGTTAATGCTGCATGTGTGTACTGAACTGTCATCGTTCTAACTCATCTGAGCTTCTCAGAGTGAGAGCTGAAGTTGCACGTGTGTGCTGAACTGTCATCATTCTAACTCGTCTGAGCCTCCTGCCATGGAAAGCATCAACGTGTGACAGGTTGCTGTGTGCTCCTTTGCATGGACAGAGAATTAGGTAACAATGCCTGGGGTTCATTTGTGTTCATTTTGGAGCAGGCGGATTGTTCTTCAGTGCAGCCTGTGAGACCCCAGAGCACAGCCACTGGTTCCATGCTCGAAAGGCTCAGCTAAGCCTAGGCAAGTGCAGAGCAGAGCCCCACGGGAGAATGAGGCCAGCGTTACAATACTCTGAGAAGAACCCTGAGGATGCTGGGTAATGGCTCTAGCTTATAGCTGTTCTAAGTTGAAAAAATGGCATTTTAATACATTACGAGAGACTGAATTTTCAATGCCCTCAAACATTTAACTATAACTGGACCAAATTCCATTTGGGCATTAGGCAGCCATTCTTCTTTAGGCTGTGGTCACGTCAGGCTCCAGGACCACCTGCTGCATCCTGATGTGAACTAGGGAGTATGCTTTCTAAATACTTGAGGTCCCAGTGACAACCAATCAGTGCTCCTCACTGGGCTTAGAAGCTCAGTAATAGCCTTGCAACCTCATGCTGCCTGCTCTCACCTCCCAGATGACAACCAAAACTGTTCTTCTGGGAGGACGGGAAGGACGGTGAGAGCCACTGTTGGTCACCTCAACTCAACACGCTCACCTCAAGTGCTCAAGGGAGCCCAGCTCTCCTCAAATGTTTAGCATTTTGTTTAATGATATAGAACATTGCTTCCCAGATGGAATGGTTTGGTCTCAAATATTTTGTGCAAACTCATTTCTGAAAGAGTTCACGGTCAATTGTGGTATTTTTGGGTAGAAACATGCTTTGTGAAAGATTTATACTTGCTTGGGAGTCAGCGTCAAGGACCCTTAAGTCAAGAATAAAGAATAATTACAGACATCATCTGCTGAGAATCGCCAGCAAAGGGGGCCAAAAATCTTAGAACTTCAGATCTGATCCTTCCCCGGCCCTCACCTGCTTGTCACCCCAGTCTCAGCCATCCCCACCTCTGCTGCCCATGGCAGGAGTGATGGAAGAGATATTGCTCCTTCCTGAGCCCTGGAGGAGAGGCTTGGATTTTTTTTTTTTTTCCTCATGAAAGAGCTAGATGGGAACATCTGGGATTCACTGCTGAAGAATGGGTGTGACTGTACACGTGACTGTTTGGCTTGGATTCTGCTGACATGGTGGACAAGGTTCGATGGGAACTGCAGCTGAACCTGGGGAGGACACATTCCCATGCTGTCACCATGGTCACCGCCTGTGCAGATGGAGTAAATACCCCAAGAGCTGCCCGAAGCTGGAGTTGAACCTTCCTCCTGTCTCCAGCGGGGCTCCTGTTGGCTGGGGAGGTGGACGACATGACCTCAGATAGAGAGAGGTCCAGTGTGGCATGTGGTGGTGCCTTTCCACCACAATGAGGCAGCAGAGGCCAGAAGAACCTGCTTCAGAGGAGCCAACAACATCCCCTGTTCCCCATTCTCAGTCTCTGAAGGAGACTTGAGAATCCGGAAAACAAGGAAAACTGACCTAGTAAGAATCCACAACCTGCCATCCTGTCTTCATGCCAGAAGGGGAGGTAAAATACCAGGCCAGGTGCAAGGGAGTCCATTCTCCTCAGAGGGAGGAGAGAGATTTGACTTCTACCAAACTTTTCATCAACCTAATAAACTAGATTTCTTCAGCCAACCAAAGTAACTGAAGGAAAATGTACACTGAGAGATTTAAAGAGTGTGGTTTAAGATTAGATTAGGAAAACAAAATGGGATTAGGAATCCACTGGATCAACACTGCTGGGAATGTTCACTTGTGGCTGGTCAATCATTGGGTTCAACACCCAACTTCTCATAGTCTCAAGTAAAGCTTGATTCCTCAGGAATCTCAAAAAGAGATTTGTGTGCTGAGGCGGGTATGTATCCATGTGAGTGCAGGTCCATGTTCAGGCATAATTACATGTATGTATGTATGGGCATAACGTTAATGTGTAATTTAAATGCTGATTTCTGTACCCTCCATATCTGGTTACAATCCTTTTTCTGAGAAAATCCCATCTCAATGTTGTGTAAACACTGCCCCCAATTGTCCTCTGATATGCCACTAAAGCAGCTTACAGCCGATTGCTGAGCAGGGGAGAGAAGAGAGCTGGACTTCCTGCCAGCCAAGGGAGGAGGAGAGAGACGGGGAAGTAGAAGATTGAACCAGATTCAGCTAAGCAGGGAAAGACACAAAGTGCAAGTATCTCTGGGAGGAGGCCAGATTGGCTTGAGGGTTAAGAATAGAGTTAAAACTTCTCAGTTATTATGTTGTAAAGCTCATAAACAAAAAAACAGAGTAAAGTCTCAATTATTTTAATGCTAGTCAGGGTAAGAAACTAAGAAACAAACACAGTTTGATAAAGATAACTTTAATATGTGAGGTGTGGGGTGGTCCGAGGTCAACCTTGGATGTCATCCCTCTGGAACCATCTACTTTATCTTTTGAGACAGTGTTTCTCACTGGCCATGAGCACACTAATTACCCCATGCTGGCTGGCCAGCAAGTCTCCGGGACCTTCTGTCACCTCCTCCCAGCACTGGGATGACTGGTGCCACCATAACTGGCTTACATTTTAAAATTACATTCATTTATTGTTCGTATGTGTTCATGTATGTGTACACATGTGCCCACAGTGCACAGGTGGAAGTCAGATGAAAGCCTGTGAGAGCTCGTTCTTTCCTTCCACCACCTACTTCTCAGGGGTCAAACTCAGGTCACTGTGCTTGACAGAAAGTGCCTTCACCCACTGAACCATCTCCCTGGCCATGCCTACAGTTTTCCGTGTTCTTGGGAACAAACTCAGGTCCTTGTGTTTTTGTGATAAACATTATATTGACTGATCTGTCTCCCCAGCCAAGTATAGACAAAACAAACAAACAAACAAATGATGTTAATATCTATGAAAGAAGTGGGAAATAGTAAGACCTGGAGAGGACAGGAGCTCCACAAGGAGAGCAACAAAACCAAAAAAAATCTGGGCCCAGGGGTCTTTTCTCAGACTGATACACTAACAAAGGACCATTCATGGAGATAAACTAGAACCCCTGCACAGATGTAGCCCATGGCAGTTTAGTGCCCAAGTGGGTTCCATAGTAATGGGGACAGGAATTGTCTCTGACAGGAACTGATTGGCCTGCTCTTTGATCACCTGAGGGGGGAACAGCCTTACCAGGCCACAGAGGAAGACAATGCCACCACTCCTGATGAGACCTGATAGACTAGGATCAGAAGGAAGGAGAGGAAGACCTCCCCTATCAGTGGACTTGGGGAGGGGCATGGGTGGAGAAGGGGGAGGGAGGGTGAGACTGTTTGGGGAGGAGGGAGTGGGCTACAGGGAGGATACAAGGTGAATAAAATGTAATTAATAAAAATTATAATAAAAATATTTAAAAAAAATCTGTGCTTCCTGTACCAGTGGTGTGGCTCTGTAAGTCTGAGCCTGCTGTACACAATGGTCACCAAGAGAAGGTTTCAGGCTCCCAAAGTGGAGATATTCCTAGGTGATACAGGGCAGCTGGAGCCCAGAGGGCATCAGCTGTTGGAGGCTACAGCCTGAAGGGCCAGAGCAGATGAGCTGGCCTGATAGCTCTGGGGTGTGCAGCAAGGCGTGCTGCCGGTGCTTGCTGTACACCTTTCAACTTTCCTTAGGCT